GAAAGAAAGAAAGAAAGAAAGAAAGAAAGAAAGAAAGAAAGAAAGAAGGAAGGAATATCCAGGTGCAGAGGTGCAGCCCGATGCATCTTGTGTCACCCAGCTCTTCCCTTTGACCGTATTGTGGCAGGTTGGGGTTCTGGCCGTGCAGACAATCCTGACCAACAAGTCTTCAATTTTGCCTCTGCAGCCTTGGTAAAGGCAAGCAGATTGAACTCCTGAGCCATGCATGTTCACTGGCCCGGCTCCTGTCACTGACGGACCTGTCTCACTCACCGGCATGAAGCCTTAAGAACAGACCTTTCAAGGATCTGGCGTCAGCGCCTTGGCTGGCACCTGTCCTGATCAATTGGTTATTTGCCCCCGAGTGTTTGGAAGAACTCGGTTTGAGATGCCAATGCAAAGCCCCGGAGCTCTTGGTGCAGATAGAAATATTGTTTATCTTCGCAGGTAGGCGAAGACTCTCGGCATGCAGGACCACCCGTTCTCCCCAGACCGTCCAGCACATTCAATACCGTCAGCAGGCCGCAGTACCAGGACATGGTTCCAGTGGGTACGTCAGCTCTTTCTGCAGATCTTTATCCGAGTTATCCTGTTACTGTATAGAGTGCATACCATGCCCACGGGTGCCTCCTGCCAGCTTCCCATTCCTCCCCGTGTCAGAAAAACTACTTCATTGTCCTAAAGCCACTTATGACCATACCCTAGTCCCTTGATTCTCAGAGAGCTTCTGCCTTATAAAATCCCATATTCCTGCTTAGCAAGTATTGGGTTGCTGAAGGTAAGAAACACTAATGAAATAATATGCAATCATTGTAAATTAAGCTTCCGAACAAACGTATAATTAGAATATATCGCATCCTAGGATAGAATTTAAGGGGTGTGTGTGAATCCGTGGTAGCCTCATTCACCAACCAAGCAAGGCTATAGCAAACAGAAAGCAGCAAAGCCTCCAGAATAGTAAACTGAAATCAACGGATGTGGGCTTCCAGGTCTGAAAACCGTTTTGAACTGTTATTAAAACAGTGAAGATACAGTGTAGTCCTGGTCTCCAACCTGGCGCCCCAGAGGCATGCAGAGAGGACAGACTGCAGAGAGGTGGCTAAATTCCTTTCCCACCTTAAAGCAAAACAGCTTTTTCTTTGTCTGTTTTTACATCAAAGAACAAACATACTTACCTGGCAGGGGAGATGCCATGCTCATGAAGGTGGTTCTCCCAGGGCGAGGCACCCCTGGTGTGCTCCAGATGAGCTGACCCTGGGATTTCCCCAAGTGTGAGAAACTTGACCGCATAGCTTGTGGTGGGGGGTAGGGGTTTGTTTCTCTACCCTAGAAACAAACAAACAAAAACCTTTCTGCCACAAAATACAGTGTACTATCCATGACTTAAAGATAACCACCAGATAAGATTCCTGGGGTTGATGTCTGTCCACATTTATAGTATCATTATTAATATATAATTATTAATAACTACTATATGTATAACTTCCATGAGCTTCAAAATTATTGCATAAGAAGTATCTCGTCTCTGATCTTGAATGGAATATAAAACGATTCCATTGCAAAAATGTCCTCAGTTCATACATATATCATGAAATGTTAACTTAGGGATCTTTGGTGTTGACATTAGAATTCAGTCTTCACAGATAGCACTTAAAAACTTTTAAAACATTTAGCTAATATATGCTAATAATATGTATGTGCAGACAGTATGACATTTTGGACACAGCTGCCTATAGAATTGATGGGCTTTCTGCTGTCTGTGAATTCAGACACTCTCTCCTTGGTTCTCTGAATTATATTTGTTACCTATTCCTGATTATTAGTAAACCAAGCAGAAGAATCTTAAGTCTGCAGATTCATTTTCCTGACAGAAGGGGTAAGAATGGAATGCCTAATAAATTTTTTTTTAACCATTTTGGCGTTTCTGTAGCCATGGTAACTAGGTTGTAGATTGTTTAAAAATATCTGTCTGCCAGCAGTTGGTGATGGTCTCGCAGTTGCTTGGTGTGTTTGTTTGTTTATTCGTGTTTGGCGTTTATTTCCACGTAGAGTTAGAGAATGGCTTGTCCTTAGCACTGTGGCTGTAGCTGTCACTGTTACTGGTGACTATTGTTTTGGGGGGTGAGCGGGTCTCTGGTTCGGCCTCTCTGCCTAGCCACTATTCAACCAGAAGACGATTTCCCGCTTCTTATGGCTGTCCTTTCTGTGAGGTTGTCTGCTGCTGGCGTTTCGTTGATGGTGGTAGTTTTGGTTTGGTTTGGTTGTTAGGCAGTCATACAATGTAGCCCAGGTTGGCCCCAAACTCAGTCCTCCTGCTTCAGTCTCCCAAGTGCTGGGATTATAGGCCTGTACCTCCATGCCTGGTTTTCAGGTTGATTTTGGTAAATTTAAAATTATGACCATCTAGAATCTTGTTAGTGAATTAATCTTGTCATTTGAAAGTATTTTTGGCTCATGAGATATATTGAAAAAGAATAGCAAGTAGCAAGTGTAAGCCCAAGAATCGTGTAACAGCTTAGTCAATGTTGGAAAGTAAGCATCTATGCCCCACTGGCAGAATAGCTCCAAACTGAGACCTTGGGTGAAATGGATGTTAGCAATAAAACGTAGTTTTTAAAGTCTGAATTTATATGAATTTAGATTTTTTTAAAGAATCATTGTTTCTTTTTACATTTTTCTTCCAGCCTACAATGACAAAATCGTTGCGTTTTTGCGTCAACCCAACATCTTTGAAATTCTACAAGAGCGTCAACCCGATCTTACCAGAAACCACTCACTCAGGTAACCAGGGTATCGGGATTTGTTTCAAGGGGCATTAACACCCATATCAAGTTGTCGTGGCATTGCGGGTCTTCTGGGGGAGGAGAGAGGTAGCTTTCCTTCTGACATTGTTTACAAGGGTTATATATGAATATGCTGTCGTCAATACCAGCTCGTTTTTGTCCCAGTTTCTCTCCTAAGTACAAGAGTTGAGTAAGATTGGCTAAATAGGCTAGAATCTCCCTTACAGAAGGAACATTAAAAGGAAACAAAGGTGTCCAACCAAGCTACATCCCAGCTTGCAAATGGTGGCACTGTCGTTTTAACTGTGGCTTGAATCAACAAGAGCAGTCTTCTATTGAGTTGAGATTTATGAAGTCCCAGACTTGACATTCCATTTGTTCCTTGAGGAGAACATAGCAGAGCCCACGGAGAGAATCTGGTTTCCCTGTGTGAGCCCTCCATACACCGATGTCTGGTTCCAGTCTCCCTATCCCTTCCTAAACTTGTGCTCCCCTTCCCCGCAGACTTGGCTTCTTCTTGGCTTGTCAAGCTGGGGCTTTCTTTTAAAACTCCCCGCCTTTGAAACCTTGCAGCTCCACAGTGGCTCTTAGGTTCGGGATATCGGACAGTGTTTCTGCGTCCCAGTGGGCTGTGTGTCACCAGGGGTAGCAGAAGGGAAATCTTATACTCGGCGTCCACTTGATTTACACATTACCTTTTATGGTAGAGATGCATTTGCCGATGATATAGCATCACATGTAGTATATCATATCATATACATGATATTTGCCGTGTATAGCAGTGCTTCTCAAAGCTGACCCATCTTGTTTTCACCCAAATAACGTAGGAGCTTTAAAAAATGCAAAATGCCGGGCCTCACTTCCGACATACACAGTCAGACAGTCAGTCTGTCTGTCTGTCTGTCTGTCTATCTATCTAAATGCCTCTATCGATCTATCTATCTATCTATCTATCTATCTATCTATCTATCTATCTATCTATCTATC